CCGGTCTAGATTTTCTTGCCAGTTTTGATGCCATAAGTGGTACATCACTTCTTTTTTCTTCGTCGCATTGGCGTTCTCAGGCTTGTGGAAATACAATTGAGTTTCTAACAATATAATATCTCATTTTTTGTTGTAAACATACCCCAAAAACTTTCAACTAATAACAAATATGACAAATATGCCAACGTTCATATTCTGTATACTTTAATACACACAAAAAAATTTAAATAATGTAAAAATAAATAAATGTAAATTACTTACTGTAAATCAACTCTCCCACAACAACAGCAATGCACATCGTAAAATTCACATTCATCAGGTGTCAGTATCAACAGCTCACATCATGGAATCCACCTAGAAGTATATACATGTGCGTTACTTTACAACTCATTGCCAGATAGTATTAAACAATTAATATTGATATACAAATTTAAATTAAAAGTTAAATCTTTTCTGATGTATAACTGTTTCCATACAATTAGAGACTACATAATTAGATTACAGAAGACCATTGGAGAGGGAATCGCTCAATCGCTCATATGTCGTAGGTCGAGATTTACCCATATGGGAATACAATTTACGTACGATTATTGATTGAATTTGAACTACTTGAAAATAACCCATTATCCATTCAGAAATATTAGAATTTGCCTTTTACAATGCACACCATTTCTTGCACTAATAATTAGTTTCGTTTCAAATATTTACAAACATATTCAGAAAAGTTTCCCATTTATACGATATTTATTATTTTGTTCATGGCCATGCTACCTTTAATTCTCTCTTATACTACTAATTATTTAATTTTATTTGTATACAACTTCATCTTCCTACATTAAATATATTTAATGATACTTGGAGCTGACTACTGCCCTCTTGGCTGGCGGTACCGCAGTTGGACTTATAATTTCATTGCATCCACGACATCTTGTCTAGCCCGCGACCGAGTTCAGATTTTAAACTAAGTCCGACGTTCCGCAATTACATTTTTAAAATCCATTCCTTACATTACACCAGTTTTTTCATGGGTAATACCACAAGTGCTTTGGAAATTGTTGACAAAAACTCGACTCGCGAAGCGAGAAGGGGATTTATCTGAGAATTTCCAAAGCACAATTATGTAATAGGACTATTCCACGAATGAAATTATGTTCCACAAAGTTACAAAATGCGCCGAATATTGAAAATATTTTAAAATCAAAGATGTCATGTTCTAATATACAGGTGGTTTATTGGATATCGACATAGCGATCGATGTGTACTGCCTCCGAAGATAGATGAGTCACGGTTTATGATTGGTCAGAAGGGAGAAGCGATAAGAATAACCGGATAGACAAAGCAATTACCTTTTTGAGATACAATGCCCTGATCGAGGCATTTTGTATGTATAGTTAAACACTATTAGTTTTAATTTAATGGGTGGAATAGTCATGATTATGCGCTATCATTTGCGTCTGGCACACCGTACTCGTAGCCGAGAACGTTCATTCCTGCAAATCATATTACCCGCCTTTCAGCTGACCGAAAGTTCTCCAATTATTTATCTCTTTGTTAGATTCTGTGCATTCCGCGACTCCGCTTCCTCCCATTGGCTGTCACTTACTACACTTAATAGATTGTTTTCTGTTACTAATCCGCGTTTTATTTATTTATTACTGTTATTTCCTGAGCTCGGAAGTTACGCACGTGTCTCATTAAAACCTATACACTTTATTTTTTATTTCTATACGCTAGTCACTTCCTATTTTGGCCTCCTTTATTTATTTTTTGTTAATTGCGTCCATTTTGAAATTTGTTTGTTTCTTGCGTAATAATGTCAAAAAATGCCTACCATGATTCCATTAAATTTTGTGATGGTCCCAAAATAGGGCCAGAATAAACGATTACAGTATTATATACTTAAAAAACACTTAATATACTTGTAACAAGTAGTACAAGCAGTAATTAAATTACAAATAAAATGTTTTATTATGTAAGATTACGGTTCTTTTCAAAATTTTCATGGGGGCTACAGCCACCCTGGCCACTCCTGTACACATGTATATGAGTCCACAGATTATATGTGGTTACTTAGGAACATGGAGGATGTAAATAAATTTTCCAAAATGACAGCAAACAAATTGTAATCAATATATTCTATTGACCAAGCAAAGCATCATAAACCTGCTGCCCCTATTACATTCAGAAGAAATACCAAGAGTTTGCCGAGGAAGATTTCTCTCCTTTTTCTCCCTGAGAAACAGCCACTGATTTAGTGGTGAAGTGTGTATTTACAAAAAGTTTTGAATAAAATAATTACTTGTTTCTTTATGGATCTGCTGATTCAGGCCTTTTGACTGCAATGTAACTTCATCTACCAATGAATTGAATTGTATTAAATAAAATGAATGTTTGATAAATGAATTGCAGTTTCTATCTTAATACTTAACATGTTGAGAATGCAACCTGTAAAAAGGTTGGTGAAAAACAAATATTTTGAATTTATGAGCAATATTTTCAAGTGCTTCTGCTCATTTATCTTTCTAATACTTGTAAATGAAAATGAAAACGATTTCGTGCATCCATGAAACTTAATGCCTATATTAATTCTTATTTCAAACTAAGACACACACATGGTATTTCATTAAAAATAAATTAAAATTATTAAAATAATATTCAGTGATCTAATAATAGATCATATATTATCAAGATCAGTGATCTAATAATAGATCACTGATATAAATAATAGAACTAGTGTATGAAGTTTCTTACATTAAGGACTGGAAATTTGTTTTTATGTGCCAGAACCAGCAGGAACAGAAAAATTAATTCATAATAATAATAATAATAATAATAATAATAATAATAATAATAATAATAATAATAATAATAATTTATTATTACCAATTATTATTTATTATTGACCAATGTGCAAAGTTTGCCGTCTATGAATTTTCTTAGAGACAGTCGCTTACTCATTATTAGCTGATATCTATCAAAAACTTTCACATAATTTGGATGTGCTTGTTTCTTCTGGTTGATAGCAGATTTTTTGTTGTTTTTTTTGGTTTGTTTTTTAAATTAATTAATTTTTTTTTGCAGATTGGTGGAACACATGTACATTGAAACAAATACTATTTAATACATATAATTTTACAAACACTGGGCTTTTGTATTTGTTATCTTAATATTAATTATTATTATTAATACTTTACTAGTATTACTTATATTGTATTTTTCAGATTATTAGTATGATTAGTAAGATTACTTTATATTTGTATTTCATATACGTACATTAATGAAGTTGGACATTAATTTTAATTTCTTTAAAGAATATCTCTCAAAATTAAATTACTGATCTGGGTTTTCACAATAGCTAGGACTGTGTATAGTTACAGTGATAACAGTAATTATGTACAATAAAACAATATGTAATAAAACATAATATAATATAATAAATGACCTCATCTCGATCAGGTTTTGTTCAGTTTTCCTGGTTCCTTGAGCAAATGCTGAGATGGCCCTTTGTTTTGCTCCTGAACAGTAATGTAACTTTGTTCTCTCCACACAAGACATCAAATTTCTCATCATACACAATTGTAATTGTATATGTGAGTCAATGAACATAATAATAATGATGATAATAATAACAATAATAATAATATTAATAATATTTATTATTATTATTATTATTATTATTATTATTATTATTATTATTATATTAAACTTTTATTAATATAACGTAGTGAAATTGGAAATATAAGCTAATGTACTGTAAAATGTATAATTAATTTAGAGCAAATTTTGATTAAAAACAAATCAAAAAGCTATGCCACTGTTCAGTGATATTGAAAAATGTAGTTTGCAGTTTTTATTTTTTTAAATAAATGACTCTTTTAGAAATTAACCACCATAGGTATATATTTATTACAATGTTGGGTAGTGGTTCAATAATAAATGTTACAATTAAAATTTTTGTTTGTGTGCTCTCTCTAATTAAAATTTTTTTTGTGTTAGTTGTACAAGAACAGTACTTTTTATTTGATTTGTGTTAATTCTTTATAATTAACTACACTTTTTTTTTGTTGCAGGATTTGAAAATTCACCATGAAGTTTCATTTACTCTTTCTTCTTATTGTCCTATGCATTCTAATGGCAGATGCATTTAGTGACAAACCGGTGAGAATAATTATTTGTTAATTACAATACTAGTTAAATGAAACAAATAATTAATAATTCAATTTATTATTTTAATTTTTAATAAATTATTAATATGCTAGCTAATTTTCAGATGCTAGAAAAGGCTAATATGTTAATATGCTAATATTGTGTTTATAAAATGCTCTTTCATTTGAATCCTAGAAACAACTAATGAAGTGTTTCTCTGAGTTGAAATACATCATCTTGTACTTACAAACCTTTCCATCGTTTTACTTGTGGTCACATTTTATGTGTGGTTTTCATGTGGTCACATAATATCTTTTGTTAATACTAGTAGTGTGTAAAATACTTTGAATTCTAGATTTTTTCTGTGCCTTATTTAATATATGAAGCTTCAGCCTACACATGTGGGTCTTCATAGGTGTGTGTGCTGGGAGGACATTTTGGAGGAGAAAAAATGTATTATATTCAATCCCTGATTTTCCCTTCTTTAACCTGACAATTTGGGGAATTGGTCAAAATCATTTGTAGAAGAGCCTTTTCAAGCCATATGACAATCCTGTAAATGATTCAACATTAAATATATTTATTTATTGAGTCATCAAAGTTACAATTTCATTCTCCTTGTAGTATGTTTAATTTATTTACTAGTAAAATATGCCATTTGTAAATAAAAAAGTTCAATGCATAAGGAGACCCAGAAATATAGGCATCTCCATCTCCCTTTCTTGTTTTAGGCTTTGCATGCCTATACTTTTCTTTCATATACTGATTGTGAACATTGTTGTTTGCAGAAATAAACTTTGTCTTACAAAACAAATACTAATTAAAATATTTAAAACAATAAACTCATTTTCATAATGTTGTTAATCTCTGTAAGTTCAGTCCTTTCTTTTATAGAATGAGAGTAGGTTTTTTTACAAAAAAAGTTTCAAAATTTGGAATTTTGGAAGAAAATTTCAAAACTTTCAGGGCAAAATAGAAGATATTGTATAAGAATCATCAATATACTTGAAAAAACAAATCCATCCTTGAGCATATCTTTTTTAACTAATTAAGCAAATGAAAGTTCATATAGTGTTATTGGAATTTTGATTATTCATTTGATTGTAAAAAACTGTTATATTAAAAATTCTGTTATCTGAAATAAAATATATTTTCATTCTCATCAAGACAAACAAATGCAGGGTGACATCATTGTAAAGAATAAAACATCTTTTCTAATATTACTGTAAAATTATTATTACGAGTAGTAGTAATACGTAGATCATATGTGATCGTAGATGATCCTAAAAGGATATTCAAAACAGTTGATTGTCAGCCGTGCTTGAAAATTTCTCTTCGGACCTTTACTAGTTTTCTAGTAAGATTATTACATTGATTATAATTCTTTTAAACAATATTTCTATTAATATTCCTTGAATTCTCAATGAGAATAAAAACATCCATATTCCATTTTTAATCATTAATTTTTCATTACATGTTAATTTCATTTTTTTTCTTTTTAAATAATATTTCTTTTTTGTTCTCTATTGCTCTCGTAAATGTTAATTCTACTTTTCATAAATTTATGTGTTTATTTAGTTCATAATGTTTTCAAAAATTGATTTTTTTCACACTTCAGTGTTCCTTGCAAACAATTATAATCAAAATAATCATTTTATTTTTATACCTTCATTTTCAGAAAAAACTCAAAAAAGTAAGGAGACACAGAACTACTACAACTACTACTACTGAATCAGAAGCTTCTGCTTCACAAGAAGAAGACAATGATCCTATTTCTATGTTAGAGAGTGATGAAGCTGCTCTTGAAAAGGAGAAGGAGGAAAAAGAAATGAAGCAAATGGATGAAAAGGAGGAACTAATGAAGGATGAGCCAGAAAAGGTTCCAGACAATGAGGTTGTCATTAGAGGTAAAAAATAACTCTGTTTATAATAAAAATGACTTACCATAACAATCCCTCTGTTAATTGTACTACAATTCAATATTGTAGGAAAAACCTACATTATATACTTTATAGTAACAGAAATTGTCAGATGGGGATCTACACGATTGGTAAGCCTTTAATAGAGAACAAATCCTAAATGAATAAAACCTATACCTTGTAATATTATTTGATTGAGAAATTTATACTTTTAACTTCACAGTAATTCTCCAAAATCATGTATTTTAATTTTTTTAAATACACACACCATTAAAAGTGATGACATCTTTTTTTCATGATTCTAGATGAAAATTTCTAGGAAAATGCATTCCTTTTTATGATTTTGGATACTACACATCTCAAGATGTATTACTATTGAAATTAAAAATTATGAAGGATGGTTCATTACTTCAGTAGTATTATTTTTTCTTCATTAAATGTAAACTACAGAATATTTCACTAATAATCCACTTAATAATTATTTCTTTCAGATCCTTGCCTCAAAAAGCATTGTGGTGCTGGTCAGATATGTGACATTAATGAAGAGGGTGAAGCACAATGTGTTTGCATTCCTAGTTGCCCAAATGAAAGTGATCCTCGCCGTAAAGTATGTGTTGTTTCTCTGAAGAGAGGTTGAGTTCTGGGTTTTTTGTGTATACAAAACTATAATGTATTATACCTTGTTTTTAATGTGATGTAGGTCTGTTCCAATCACAATGAAACATGGGGATCTGATTGCGAAGTATATCAAATGCGGTGCTGGTGTAACCACGGATTGGAAAGTTGTAAGGGAGACCAATACAAACATGTTCACATTGAGTACTATGGCTTGTGTCGTGATATGCCAGTAAGCGTATTTTTTTATTGATGCTAATTACAAATCATTACTAATCTTCCCTAATGATTACTATCTGGTCCTTTCTCTAGACGTGTACCACTGATGAAATGGCTGATTTTCCACGCAGAATGCGTGATTGGCTTTTTAACATTATGCGTGATTTGGCTGACCGCCAAGAACTCAGCCCTCATTATTTGAAGATGGAAAGAGAAGCTGAAACTAACTTGACTCGTCGTTGGGCTAATGCTGCAGTATGGAAATGGTGTGATCTAGATGGCCACCCACATGACAGGTACCACATTCACCAGCAAGATTGCTTGATTATTAGTTTTTTAAATATTTTTGTTCCAAATTTGCAGTATTTCTAGGAATTTATAATGCAGCAAAAAATTAATAAATGTTACATTTGGGTGAAACAGTTATGAGTGAGCCATGATTCTTTCTATGTTAATTTTTCCTCCTTTGTAATAAATTAAAAAATGTATCTAGTTTCAGAAAACTTTTTTTCAAAAGTTTTATCATCTGTGCACATAATTTTATTTCTGAGGAAAAATGTTTTATTACTCTTTTTGTGGAATGATTTCTTACTCACTGGCACTTTTCTTCAATATTGAATAATTTCATGTCATTTTTAGCATGCAATACTCAAAATACTTGAAGTATTTCTATGCTGAAAGATGTAGAAAAGTTCCACCTGATATGGAATTGAATATTTGAATTTGTATCTAAATAACTGCTATAATGTGCTACTTCTAATGGTTTGATGATGTGTAATATTGAGATTCATGCATACTTGCGGTAGTTAGAGTATTAAAATTTTATTAAGTGGAAGCACTCCAAAATGTAATTAATATTGCATCTTAAAATGAGAACATCTGCAGAAGAACTTAGCAAGTTATATAGTATTGTGTATCCTTGTGTATATAGTGTATGTATCCTTGTATATAGATGTGTGTATCCTTGACAAATACATGTGTGGTAAATTTTTCTGGTATTTAAATTCTTTAAATGAACAATTATTGATACAATATATAAAAGGATAATAAATGAAATAAGAATGGCAATAGATTAATTAAAAATCAGGTTCTTAGTTTTCTGGGCAGTTCATTTCCCTATCTTCGAATTTTTTCCAATCGCCAATCATGTGATATATGAAATGAACACTATTTCTGATGATCTCACAGACTACAGAACACTACTTCTGTAAAATATCATTTATTTTTAGTGTTCTCATTCTTGAAATTATTATTAAGCAATGAGCCAATTAAGAGTTTTCTTAAATAAATATCGTGTACTCTCTACATTTTGGTTAAAAAGACTGGTATAGGAGCTGCAAAAGCTGAAAAATTTATATATCCAATTATTGATCTTAGATAGGTCAACAATGCTTATGCATTATAACAATTCAACATTCATTATATAAATGTTAATTCACTTTTGTGGCTTGTAAAATAGGAATACGTAAGTATTTTAAACATACAATTTTTCTCTTTATAGTACTATCATCTTAAGGTTTTCTCCTATTTGCTACATTTGTGATACTGTTGGTATCCCTATTCTTGTTTATTTCTGACAATTTTTTTAATAACTTGAAGTTAACTGCTTCCAGAAAAATCCCAGCTATTTTTGTCTAGTTTAAAACTATTGTTTACTTGAATTACATAGAAGAATTGTACATTTCAGATCCGTCTCTCGTCATGAACTGTTCCCTATTCGTGCACCACTTATGGCTTTGGAGCATTGCATTGCTCCTTTCCTTGATTCCTGTGATGTAGATGATAATCACAGAATCACTCTGAGAGAGTGGGGAACATGTCTTGAATTAGATGTGGTAAGTTTTCTGTGTTATAATAAATAGTTTGTATTTATTTTTTAGATTATTTTAATTAATATTTGTGGTATTGTCTGCATTTTTAAAATATTACTTGAGTATGTAATGTTTGCAGGATGATCTAGAAGAAAGGTGTGATGAACTGATGGAAGGTTGAAGCTTTGTCTACCAGAAGTACATTTCTTTCCACCAGATGACACTTCTTTTAGCTAGTAATTTGTTCCATATTCCTGTAGAAGTTTATGAATATTATTTCATTTCTAAATGGTGCTATTATTTCTAGGTTTTTACATTTACAATGTGGCAAAACTACGAAATCAAAACTGCGATTTGCACTAAATTGAAAGCTGATTAGCATGTTTAGATCTGAATATGTATTACCTAAATAAAACAAAATAACTATGAACTTAAAATCATAGTACTTGATCACTGCCATGTACTATTGTGAAAATAAAACAATTTTTTATTTTGTATTTCTAATTTTTACATTGCTTTTAATGTGAAAATGAAAAGTAAGACATCAAGCTTGTAATAATACTACTTAATATACATGAAATTTAATGCATTTTATACATCATTCCTTAATAGTGAGAATGCAAATAAATGTTCCTTTGTTCAGTACCATCCTCTCATTCTTTTTTCAGTAACATTGACAAGTGTTATTATGGTGTATTCATTTACACTTTACAAAAGTACATTGAATTTCAAGTGCAAAGCAACAAACCTTTGCAATATTTTAAATATCAACAAACATTTTAAGATTATTGAATCATGAAATAATTAACATTATCAATGGGTAAATAACTTAATAATAAAACAATAATAACAATTCCTAGGGAAAGATCAGTTTGTTGCCCTTAAATAATTAATCACACAAAATGAGGTATAATTCATTAATTCTACTTATAGTCTATTGCATCAGAATAATGGATATTAAGTTGCATACATGAAAACTTGAATGCAAATTGTATTGGGTCACTGGATAAAGTTATTAACGTTGGTAAATTTTACAATGACATAATAGTTCAACAGATTATTGTTCAAGAATAGCAATCCTTTCAAACATCTGTCATGTAGACTACTGTAATACGTATACACACTAAAAGTGGTGTTCTGCTAGGCAACACTTGCTAATACACGTGCAAAACAAAACGTCACATAATTTAGAACAAACACCGGACACAGAAAAACCAAGCCGTTTAATACAGGACTAGGAAGAAGAGAGAAATAAAATATTCTCATAAGGTACATAAAGTAAAAATCTAGGCCAATAAAATGGACCGACAACCCCAGGCTAAAACGCTGCACTGTGCAGTTGGCGATAACAAGCCAGCAATACCGATGCCAGTATACAGTATACCAGCTGACGAGTGAATAAATCGTCTGTTTGTTATTGAGTCCTTGAGACCACACTCCCACTATCTTCATATAGTATATATTTGTTGGTTCACTCAACTCTTCCGTTACACGATTTTATCATGTAATAAATTGAAGGCTTGTACATCTTATGGAATGAACATGAACGGGAAAGTTTCATGATCAAACATACTATATCGATAACAGCCAAAAAACCAAAGCAAGACTATTCGCTGTCACTAGTGGTCAGTATATTATTACTTCGATAAGATGAGCAGAATAAAAGATTGAGTAAGGCAATTAATTATTTTAGTTTTGTATAGGATTCAAGTTAAAATACAAGTTAACGAGAGGTAATTGAATTAATTAGTTCCTTAACATATTCCTGGCTAACCTTATCGTTGTATAATTCAACTTTTATCAATGCAATATTTTAGAACTGGAAATGTAAAGTTTTGAGTAGACTACTTAATCGAAATTTTAACTGATTAGTTATAAATGAAATGACTGAGAATTCGTGATATTATTACTCAGGCAACCCAGTAATTCAAATGATAATTTAGTTATTATTTACATTTGGAAAGAAACACAAAGTAATTAGGGATAGATGTACCAGTATCATGGAAATAAGATTTAAAAAAATGTTTCAATGAATAGTTATCCACCAGGTGTTCTCTAATTTCAAGTTTCAAATGTGCAGGAAAAATCTAAATACCTAATGTGACCTAATGTAACGGTCGCTCTTTGTTTCCCTTTCTGCTTCCATTCTACTATGGAAACCCACTATTCGCATTAAATTTCATTAGTTTTGTTTTTTTATGCTCTAATAAATTATTTTAGTCGATAAAGTACTGCGATAGTTTTCAAACTTTACATTAACATCAATGAATAACATCATACACAACGAGACATTTATTTCGTATTCTGGGAACCCTCCATGTTGTCTGTCCTGTGTGCCCAAGCCAAGCCAACGCACGAGTAACACCTCCTTTGATCGATAGATGGCGGGCTTCCCGCGCCACAGTATTTTAAACATCTACGCTCCTGACTGGCTGGACTTGGTCATGTGACTCCTTTCATACTTTCGCCAGTAGGTTTGTTTGGCGGGTACGCATAGCGTTGGTAGCCAAGTTGGTGTTGCTTGACGTTGCACAATGGCAAGTATCGTAAAGTTTTTGTGGTATATTCGAGGCATCCGTGAATAATTTTTGTATATTTTGATTCTACATAGTTCATTGTATGTACTGACGAAGTTTCGCGTGTCTAATCGAAAATTTAACTACCTTTCCTGTGAATTTTAGGCTGGTGGAAAAGCGGGCAAAGACTCCGGGAAGGCAAAGGCGAAGGCTGTCTCACGATCGGCAAGGGCAGGTCTACAGGTACGAATAGTGCATTTTTTGCTAGAAATTAGTACAGAATTTTGCTTGATATGTTCACTTTCGTTGGCAGAGGTATTATTGTGCTGTAATTCTAGGGAAGTGGAGTTTCTGTAGGCTCTGCTGACACTGCACTGTTTGAAAGTGTTGAAAGAGCATCTCTGATATTATTAATTTTTGTACGTTACAGTTTCCTGTTGGAAGAATACATCGACATCTGAAGAACAGAACGACAAGCCATGGACGTGTTGGAGCAACGGCAGCTGTGTACAGTGCCGCAATTCTGGAATATTTAACCGCCGAGGTGCGTACGAAACCAAAATGGCTGCTTTATTTACGCGCGGTGTCTTATGTGCTCGGTAGTTTTTCTTGCGTGCGGTGGAACGAATTATTTCATATAGTACATCCAGCTGTGCAAAGATGCCTGTAGTGTGGGAAAGCTTTGGGTTGTACTGTAGAAGTGTGTCATTTGTGTGCGATAGCGTTCTCAAAGCTAGTGTTAAATTCTGTGTTTCTTGCTCTTCAAATTTTGGCGGGATTTTTTTGTTGGTATTGCAACCTGGACTTTTCTGTTGACAGGTTTTGGAATTGGCTGGAAATGCTTCAAAAGACTTAAAGGTGAAACGTATTACTCCTCGCCATTTGCAATTGGCTATCAGAGGAGATGAAGAATTGGACAGTTTGATTAAGGCCACTATTGCTGGAGGAGGTAAGTGCAATGTTGAGGTTATGTTTCTTCACAATGATGGCAATTGTCATTTTTGATTTTCCCGTGCTCATCCATGGAATGTTATTTGACATATTGTGCATTTCAGGTGTCATCCCTCACATCCACAAATCTCTCATTGGAAAGAAGGGATCACAGAAGCCAGCATAATGTAGGCAGTCTGCTGTGTGTGAAGTTCCAGAAGACTTTTGAGACTTGTTGCATATAAATTTCCAGTTTCTAAATGAGAACAATGTGTGTTTGCAAAGTTAATTTGAAAGTTGACCGTGCGATTGATAGATTGAGAGCACTAAGATATTATGGGGGTGTTTAGAGAGTATGTTGCATATAGATTGTTTTTTATGAATTTTGCCACTTTTAGGAATGGGCAAAATATTCTTACCAATTGTATGTCTCAGCCTACAAGTTAATGTCTATGATGTTACATTGTAGTTGTGATCTTTCATTCTATTGTGTATCAAAAGTATATCCTGTTCGATTATAGTGAATATGAACACAATATTGTTGGATATTTTTGGATAGATAGATATTTTGACCTGACTATAGAAGTGAACGTGTGAGTGTAAAGATCGAAATGTTTGCTGGTTTAGTGCTCTCATATTCTGTCTGTGAAATGAAAGGCTTGTTCTTCATTAAGTTTATATTGTGAAGATGAACAAAATGAATTTTCAGTAATCTATTTGAACTGTCTGGAGATTTTTAGATTTGATTTTCTGATTTGTCAATACAAATTAGAGTAAGATGTTGACAGTATAAACTGTATGGTGGAAGCATTTGTGCAATGGGTGTGCTGTATGTATGAAATCAAATGTTAACAAGCCTTAAAATTTCTGGTGAGAAAAGTACAAAGACTTGTGTTCATATTCACTATCTACTGTAAGGTAATTTAAGTGCATTTAATTGATCTGCAGATTTCATGTATTCAAGAATTATCTTAATATTTTATGTTAGGTAAGTTTTTCATTGGAATTTTGTAGTGTTCATTACATTCACAATGTTATGGCTAGTTTTACATCTGTAGTAAAATACATTCATTTCATAATTTTTGTTTCTGAGATTTCCTCTTGCCCGTTTCCTTCTGAGTTTAGAAGTTAGTCAAGGTTGTCCTTATTTATTTAGTTAATTGTTGAATAAGACCACTAAGTATGAAATGTCAGCATTTGTTATGTAACATTTAAAAAGTTTAGCCCAAAAAAAATTACTGATATTTGCACACTAATTTGAAGTCAATATTTCAACAGATTCAAAGTTCTGGATATTAACAGAAGTGCAGGTTTCTTGATTTGGTTTGGGGAATTATGATTACAGCCCATTCAGTCCCTTGTGGGTGAAGGCATCAAGATTAGGTGTCAGACCAGTTGCATATGTTAATGCGTTAATTAGGGTGTTATTAATATGCTGTTAATATTCATGAATTCTACTCTTAATGCGTTGATACTTTTTCCTTGAGCTGGTGACACGAGTTGAATGTAGGATTACCAGTACCGTAAAATTTCATTGCTTCATTACTCTTGTTAGATTTTATCTACCATCCTTCAATGTTAACTATTGTGGATCAAATATAATGTATTTTGTTAAATTACATTTATAGATCATATATTGGGATAAAAGCTTGTTTTATGGTACCATTAGCTGCAGGAAGTTTTGCCAAGTGTCAAGGGGACCTTACCCAAGACTTCATTTTTGATCAGTACAATTGGCATGTACATTGCATGCACTATTGAAACGAGCTGTATACTCCCTATTGAGGTAATGTCTTGTTTTTGCAAATCTGAAACGGGTCACGTTTAGAATTATGCATTTTGCAGGGCAGTGAAGAATGAGCATTGAGCTGAGACTTGTGAAATTATTAACGTTATATTTTCGTGTATTATAAATGTTGGGAGGAATGGAATGTTCTCTATTAAGGTTAAAAGTTTTGTAACATTAAGTGATAATGGGTCTTGCTGGATGACATCATAGTTTGGGATTAGTAGGTATAATTTTATTTTCTGAGAATGTAAAACCAAAACTTTTTAAGGTATGTGATTAAAGAAAATAAATATGTTCGGATGATGAAATCATTTGAACAATAACTACTTAAGTTTTGGGGAGACTGATTTCTTTTTAATGGAGGCATATTCAAAATAATGATGCCACTGGATTTTGGTACTTCAGATATGTTTCAAATTTAAATTCTGGTGAGAAAAATGCTCAGTCCACTGTTGTTATTTACGTTCATTTTCAAATCTAACGTAAGAACCTACTAATAATTGTGGCATTTCATGATATTTTCTTATGGGTTTATAATTCCAATACTAGAGCCGTAGGAATTTCCATCTTTAAATGTCGATAGACATGTGAAAAAAATGTCCTGGCCCAAAATGGGTCTGAGTGCATATTTCACTCCACAACCAGCAGGTTTCCACTTACGTATTAAAAAGACATAACCATGTAAATTTTAATTTATGGCTCATATCACTACTAGTAATTTCTTGATTTAGTTGGTGATTGAAGGTGCTGAGTATATGAAATTGAGGCAAGAGATTACATATATTTCGCTACTTTCTCAGGTATATCATTTGTGTCAAATAATATATACCAATATAATAATTTATATAGTGTCAAAAAGACAGTTATTTTGCTGTTAATATGAATTAGCTATATTCAAGTTAAAATTATGTCAAGGAATGTGAGTACTTATTTCATTTTACTGCATTTTATTAGCAAAAACATGACAAGTGGTAGTTGCAGGGTTAAGAACATGGAAGTAACAAAGCACTGGGCAAGATGTAATGAAACTTCATTTACAATGATTTCATGGAACTAATCCTAAGTTAATGGAACACTTACAATTATTGGTATTTGTTTTTTTTTAATAAAAAGGGTTCCATTTGAAAATTGTTCTGAAATAATTGTGATTGATAGAAGAGTCTCAGGGTGCTGAAATATAAATTTAACTTGTTTGTGAAAGACTTTTTTTAAAAGCTCAGATGATTTGCTGCAAAATAGCAATGTTCTTTTGCACAATGGTTACAATGCCAAGTGTGAAATGTGTGTAAACTGCAACTTGGTACTCAGATCTGCTTGTCTTTCAAATTGCAATTCAATTTGCACCTCTCAATGGACTTATCAGAAAGGGAAATAAAATTCACAATCCAACTATTTGGTCATGAGCTTTTGGATTCTGCAATAAAACTGAATCATCCTTCCCCGCGCTTTTTCCAAATTTTGATAAGCGCCCTGTGTAAGTGAACTTTTTACGATTGAAGCGGACACCGTTTTGAGTTCTCGTTGAAATTTTGCCGACGACGGGGTGGGGAATATACTAAGATTTATTTAACCATGCAAATGACGTAACTCATCTGTTCACGGTTTCATCCAATCGGGAGCTTGAACGTCCCCACAGTGACGTCACTGTAGCGACATTAAGCTTCCGATTGGATGATACCGCAATACTTCATTTACGTCGAGTGCTGGGCTAAATTGTACTATAATCGAATAATGTTAAATATGAAGTCATCGCCCCAAACGTGGCTTATTGTAAAGTAAAAGCAAGAAATTGCAGACCAACAAGTGGCATGGAGGAAGTCATTTCTTTCAATAACTTTTTTTTATAATAGGTTCATATGTTAAATGAGTTAGTCTATTTATAATTTAAAGGATTATTTAATGATTTGTATGAAATAATTGCATTGAAATATTCAGTTTTCAACAAAACAGCTTAGTTTTACCAACCAAAAAACGTAAAAACGGTTTGTACTGTACTTATTATAATCTTCAACTGATGACAATATAACATATTTTAAAGGTGTAGTAAAGTAATATAAAGGGAGGAGAATTTATTATTGGAGATAATAACACGGAGATAACAAATAATTTGAAGAAACTTCGGTGAAACTAGAAGATATGGAGTTGGGTGAATGTCTGTTTTCGTTAGCAATAATAGTGGGAGCTTTACAATGTTTTAGCAAGTTGAGGTATCTCGGCTAAATCGACAGCTACCAAAGCAGTCAGGAATGCCAAAACTTGCTTATTTGTGTCATAGGTAAGGATATCTCAGTCTATTGAAGACATAAAATTCGCAATAGATAATTTAAATAAGCAGAAACATTTTTGGAACATTGGGCTCGAATGGGTGGAGCTCTTCAACTTCTAAACAACAAGTTTTTTTTAGCGAAAGCGACAAGTTTATAAAAAAACAACAACGTTTATTCTTCTTCAAAATTCCGTAAAATATTAATTTATGTTGAATTTAAGAGAATAGAAAGAAAATGCGCACTTTCGTCGTCGCGAATGGACATTCGGATATGACCCGCCAATTTCCCCACCACTTCTCTCGGAATACTCTGTACCAATTGGTCGGATTTCTTCCCTACTCTTGGATATGTTTTTGATCTTTGCACTCAACATACCAATCTGTATTTCATAATGTCTCTCACTTGTGGAAAAAAAAAAGAAAAAAAAAATCAATCATGATGTGAGTTATTTTATAAAACAATTTGAAAGGAAGCCTTTTGACGATATTTTCAGATTCCATAATGATTATTACTTCTGAAAGTTGAATATCTGGAGAAATTGTGCCAATTCACGTCAGTTTTTAATGTCCATAACAACTTCGTAATTAACAAAGTTATATTTATGTATTTTCTTATTAATGGGGACAAAAATAGCCGAATGCAAACGTGAAGTGAGAGGTTTAAGTTTTAAAGTTGCGAAACGCTTTTGTGTGTCATTTGGTATCTCCGAATCTTACAAAGATAATTATTATAAGAGAATGCAAGATAAAGAATTTTGTTTTAATAAATTATCAGATTTTACTGATCTGATTAACAAGAAAACTAGATGAGATGGGATGAAAAAAAGCTAGGATTTTAAATTGGAATGTGGCTAAGCAGTTGTTTCATCCAACAATTTATTCTAAATAGCACCCAGTGTTACTAAATGAGATCCCAGGGTGTGAATTGATGGGAGAGTATTTGCCAAGGATGTGTCACCATAGCGGATTAGATGTCTCTTGGAAAAGTATTAATTTCTTCTTGCCAGGTATACAATTAATCCATATTTGATGCCGTATTTATGAATTTGACACCTTTGAAATGTTCAAATGCCATCCAATCCAGAAATGCCACAAATAAACAGTCTACAGAGCATTCTTAGGATTCATATGTGAACAAAGGTGGTCTTCACTCATTAATTCATTGACTCAGCACCTCTTGAGGCTTTGAATATTTCCCTCTGGAGAAAACGGAGTATCTACTCCGCGTGAGAACAAAAATTACTTGTAAATTATAGTTCTTACCTTCCATAGGTAACATTTTGGTTTCATAATTAATAATGCTGCGCGAAAAAACGGCGGATTTTCGGCAGGAAAAAAACGAATTGCCAAGTCCTGATTACGAAAATAAAAGATTAATCCAGTTGCTAAATTAAGAAAAAAATCCTCTAACACGTCGTGTAGCCAGAATCACTTTTGTGGGTTCTTGACACCGAAAAAACGATTAACGGCAAAACGACCGTCCGTCTGGTATGTGTGAGCAACATTAGCACCTAAACTACGATTTTTTCAAACCGAATAAACCTCTGACGATGTGGCCTGAGCTCTGCAATTTTGAAAAACTTTCACTAATTTTTGGGGGCATTTTACATTAAGTCCCCCAGACATTTTCAAAAATTTCTCAAAAACGGCTCCAAATTTTTCCTTGAAATTTCTTGGAAGAATAGAGTAAAATAAAGGTGTCCTATTTTCACTGATAACCCTGAATTTTCGATAATTGCAAAACTGAATATTTTTCGGCGACATCCTACAACTTAGGAAAAGCAATTTAGGTTTAGATTGTCATTTCTATTAATTATATAACATTTAAATAATTGTGAATACTGCAATTGAATTAAAAAAATGAAAACTGTTAGAGAGAGAATATTGAATGTTTCATTATGTATGAATATGCTTTAAGAATTGTAATATCGAGTTAATATGAGCAAATAAATTATTATTATTATTGTTATTATTATTATTATTATTATTATTATTATTATTATTATTATTAAATGTTCATAAATAATATTATTGCAAAACATGCAATACTGGCTTTAGATAAAATTTTTATTTATGTTTTATTTTTGAGAAATATATAACATCATTTCAAATTCACATGCAGTGAAAACATTTTTCTGAAGACTGACATGTAGTAATTTAAGTAAATTTGTACTGAACCATTACCTTGCCCTCATACTAATTATGATCATTTGGTGATAATACATAGCCAAAGATAGAAACTATTTCGTCAGTGGTTAGATGGGTTTGCTGAAATCAGAGTGTAGTTTCTGATCGTAAATTCTAAGGAGAATATTTTTAGTTTACATGATAAAATAACACAATATTGAAATATAGTGTTCTTTTTCTTCTTAATTATATTTTATGAAAGATTTGGCTTCTTCACCGATTGAGCCATTATTGAAAAAAAGACTTGAAGTACCAAGCATTCCAAGAAATCTGAGATTTGTCATTCAGGAAAATCTTATATCTGGATCCTCTTCCATGAACACAAAATAACCAGTCAAGAAACAGAATTGTTCACTGTGACTTAGAATAAGAGAGAATGTGAAAGAATGATTGTGAGTTGTATGGAAAACAAATTGCTGAGGACTGTAAAGATGTGTTGTGTGTTGAATGTACCAAGTAAATTTCAAATCAGTATTCTTATCATGTTTATCTGATGACATAATGCGTGGTTTGATATCTTTTTAATTTCACTTACATTGCGTGAATTATATTCAACTTATAATTGTAATCATGCCATTACACACTGGAGAAAGAGAATACCGTAAAAATACGTGAGAACGTGAGTTACATTTTTGTTTCTTTTATGTTCTCACACATACATACATACATACTCAGTGAAAATCAAGTAGAATTATATACTCTTGAGTTAAAAATATTTTCTTAGATCTTTTGTAACATACTAAAAATCTTTGCAAACATGACACCCCAGTGTGTAGTTTCTAATGCAAAAAACAAGTTTGTTGTTGAAGAGTTAACTGTTTTCTTTCTGTAATTGTAGATTGAAATCTATAAAAATGAGACAACATGAGACTTTTTTGCATATTGCAGATTTATGATCAAAGAATCCAAAAAACCTGAAATCTCAATTTTTTCGTTTTGAGGATTGGTTTCTTCGTGCAACAACCAATTGGTTCTTTTAATCCTGGTCACCTTTAAAATTGTATTGTCTATTTATGTCCTTTATATATTATTTTTACATATTACATATTATTTTTAATATGATGTAGAAATAATCAAATTGTCAGTATTTTTAGTGATTTATTCTGTTTTAACATGAATCATCTATTATTGCAAATAATACACGCTCAAACTTGGTTCTAATTATGAGTAAACATATCTGTACCTCAGAGGTAATGGACACCATGTCCATTCTTTTATAAAATTGACTTAACATGTGTCCAAATATTTGTTTTTCGTTCAGTACAATGGAATAGGACATTATTGTGTTACCCTAAATAAAGAAGATAAGGAATTGGAAAATGAAATCATGTCCATTGTCATCAGAGGCAAAGAACACCATGAACTAGTGTTCTAGCTAGTATCATGTTTACAATATAGAACAAGATTTTAAGCAATTTATTGCATTGTGTAAAAGAAAAAATATATCAGAAAAAAACTGCTGGGTCTAAGAAGTTCTTTATGTCTACTTGTGTTCACATTAATTTAAGGGGGAACACATTGAGATGATTTACTTAAAGTTTACTTGAAAAAGAGAGTTTTAAATAGGTAACCTGAACAGGAATACTAGAAGGGATATACAAGATGGGATGGGGGTTGGCCTATATTTTCGCCAAATCTGACATAAATACATTGACCTTTCTCTGTTGCCTTTCACTCTTTGGTTTTTTTGTGAACCTGCCTAAAACCAATGTTGGAAGTAGAGACTATCCAGCCAGTGCTAACTGTAATTTATTTGATTATTAAAATGTTTTACATTACAATCAGGGGTGAATCCAGCTAATCATTTTGGAGGGGGCCATTGTAAATATTTATTAAATAATAAACATTTTTTTATTATATTTTATATTATTTATGTTCTTTAGATATGATACTATAATATATGATTGTTTAAATAATTACAATTCAAACATAAATAAATATTTAAATCAATTTTGCCAAATAAAGACAGGTAAACGAAAACTCTAGACCTTTTTCGGGGGGGGGGATAGCCCCCTCCTGGATCAACCACTGATTTACAATGCAGTGTATTGTTGTGTCAGCCAAATTAATACATTTTTTTTACTATCACTGTGCATAATTTGGGTATGTTTTGTTCAGTAATAGTTCAGTTCAGTACATTGTCATTACTTAATACTTGGCTTATCATTATACCA